ATAATAATATTGGATCTCGATAAAATGAGCAAATTATTTAATATGCATCGAGTATGTAGGGTGGTAATCGTTGTCAAAGAGGATTATTTTGATGAAGGGAAAATTTCAAACAAAATTATGTTATGTGTGCTAAATTACGTAATGAAACATGTTTGAATGTTGTCACAGTGCTTGAATGAAAGATTATATTCATGCAAGAGTTAATTACTTTGTGTATTTTCTGAAAAAACTGAAGAGAAAAAACAATTTGATGAACAATCGTGTAAAATTTGAAACTAGTGAATCAACATCAGTAGAAAGCAAGCTCACGCATGCTGGTGAAAACTTTGCTTCATCCTAATTGCGTAAAAGCCCTGTGGGCACTATCACAATTTTCCAATATCGATTTCAGCACAGCTTTTTCCGTTAAATTTGTCCTTCAAAAATTAATTGAATTTAATAATCGAAATCCTTCAGAAGTTTATCATTGAAATATATATCAATACATTGAAATATATATCAATACATTGAAATATATATCAATACATTGAAATATATACAAAAACAATATCATTGAAATATATCTCTTATTTAAAGTTTATCATTCCAATTACCAAACTATCTTTGAACCATTTAACGTAATCATGTGATAAATGTTGTTTAAGTTTCCTTCATATCAGTATAAAACTATCAAGAAAGATAAAAGCCCAGCTCTATCAACGAGCGACGCGGTAATGCCAAACTATGATAAAGTGGACACCATTTAAAGCTACTAGTAAAATTTTAGAGAAAAAAAGGGCTAATGATGCAAGTGATTATACAAAAATGCTAATCAAAGCTTACATTCCCTTTTAGCAATAATTTTACCGTGGCTCCAGTTGGGCTAAAAATTGGCTCAATATATTGGGGGACCAATATTGGGATCTCTAGATTTTTTAATGTTGGTTTGATTTTTTAATTATATTTTTAATATAAATTTTGAGTGAAACGTTTGCACAATGCAAAAGAAAATTGGTGTTTAGCTAGGGTTTTGGGGGTTGAGGTAACCAAAATGCATTTTTAAGTAAAGAACTGTAGTTATCGTGCAAAAAATTATAGAAAATTGACAAAATAACAATTTTTAAAAAGAATTAGTACGAATATATTAGTAAAAATGTACTTGTTTTTTGCTCTTGCAAACGTAATGGTTTTGCAATGAAGACGTAAATTGATTCTAATGCGCATTAAAATTTGTATTGTCAGTAAACATGCAAACAAAAATTAAATAAATAAAAATATAGCAGTGAAAAAAAAGGAAAAAAAATGTGACTACATGCTCTATAAAAAAAATTTAGTTTACCTTAACACCAAAAATGGTTGCAACTATGCATCAAAATTCTTACTAGGTAAGAGTTAAAATAGTTTTCAACATAAGAAGCAATTTGATTTTTTGTGAACGAAAAATTCATAGTTTTTCAAATAATGTTATTTTTTAAATATTTTGTGAGTTTTTTTAATATTTTTAAAAAGTAAAAGTTATAATTTTGATTATAACAATTTTTTTAAGAAAAAAAATAGCTGAAATAACTGTTTATTTTTTAATCAGAAGTCACTCAAATTTAAAATGAAGTAGCTTTTGAACAATTGAAAAACTTAAGTTCAATAAAAATTTATTCTAGCATGGATTTCAGTTGAAATTTCTCCTTGTAAGTGAGATTAAACATCCTATTAAATTCTCACTTATCAAGCTCACTTATCAATTCTCACTTATCATTTTGCAGATCTACGCCATCACAGAATCATTTATATCTAGACCTAGATTCTAAGTATATACTATTATAAAATACATGTGCGGGGAATATTCCTTGAATTTAAATCCTCATAAATGGCTTTTGGAATCAGAGAATTACTCTAAAACGCTGCTAATTTAATTGAATTGCTCAACTAGCAGTTACGGGTCTTGTTCAACAGATAGAGGAATATGTTTTTTAAAAAAATTATCGCGTATTTTGAATACACTATAGCTCCAGCCTTGCTGACCTCCTTCCGCCTGTGGTTGTTTGATATTTCCACTTTGAAATGATTTGAAAAGAATGATTCCGAACCCTACAGACTGAGAAGTAGGCACGATCATGCGCTTTCTTAATGTTAACATGCAACTCAACTGATGTTAAGAAAAATTGTCTTTAGTTATAAAACACAAAAAATGCAATGAAAACTGTCTTAATTAATCTCTTCGATCTAGAAATCTTAAAGAGGTTAGAACTCTAGTATTTTACCATAAATATCAGAAAAAGAGACATTTCATTACGTTTTGGTGATTTATAATAACTGCCCTTGTTGGAATTAAATGCCCATGCTCCCTTTTTTTTTAATTTATTGTTACACACACATGCGCTATTATTGCACATGAATTATTGTTACACGTGTTTACTGAACACAAAGAATGACTTGTAAGCTCTTTCTGGATTGAAAAACAGCGCAATTTATGGAAAGCACGAAATCAAATACAGGGTTATTTAAGGTGAGATTCGGAGACGCTGTATCCACTCTACCATTTGGTGAAGGAAAAATATTCATCGGCACACGGAGGTCTCTTCCCTTTTCTTTATTTACTTATATTTTCTTATTTGCGTCATTGCACATGCTTAAACATAGCCGCGCATCTTAGCACATACACCGAAAAGTCACTTCATTATGACCACCCTGGTAATAACACATAGGACCACCTTTAGCCCTCAAAACTGCTAGAACCCGCCGTGGCATTGATTCCACAAGATGTTGATAGGTAGTCTGAGGTATATGGTACCAAGCTCTCACCAACTGGTCCTGCAATTCCCTCACATTAGGAGGTGGTAGCGTGGCAGCACAAATTTGGTTTTCCAAGTAGGACCACAAATGCTCTATTGGATTAAGGTCAGGTGAATTTGGGGACCAAGACATGACTTGAAAGTCACTGGAATGTTCCTCGAACCAATCCATGACGATTCGACCTTTATGACATGGTGCATTATCCTGTTGGTAAACACCATCCCCCGAAGGAAAAACTGTTGCCATGAATGGGTGAACCTGATCTGCAACTATGTTGAAGTAGCTTACAGACGTTAGGGATTGTTCTATGAGGATTATGGGTCCTAATTTGCCCCATGAAAACATTGTTCCTGGGCGAGAAACCATGAAAACCTGGGCGAACCCATTGTTATTGATGGAAAGTGGTCATAATGTAATGGCTCTTCTGTGTATACTCAAGTGTCATTATTTTTCTTGTTTTCACTTTAGCTGCTTATGTGTGGTTCATGATCTATGTCTATCGATACTAATGTATGTCTTAAGCGATTATTTATCTAAATATCTAAACTACTTTCATGTGAACTCCATCTTTTCAGTTTTTGCATGAGCAGTCAACAACAAAACCAAAAAATAAATTGCCAGAACATTTTGGGCAAGATTCCATTTAGTCATTGAAAATGCATTGAAATGCGACAAAAAATTAAATCTGAAAAAGAAAAAATTTCGTAATGAGTAATTATTATTTCTCAAGCTTAAATAAATTTAGATGAAAAATATTAAAGTACCAGATGCCAATTCAAATTTGAAAGAGTACAAATTCGATAAGGACAGTCTCATTAATAAGTCAATAATTCATTATTAAAACCCCAGTATGCATTAATTTGTTTTCTTATTAATGTGAAAAATAGGCAGTCAGAGCTTAGGTTTTGGACATAATCAAGAAATCCAAAATATTACTTGAGCCAGCAAAAATTAAGAAAAAAAAGTTTTTCTAACTGAAAGTTTTTATAACAACATTTTTATCAATTTAATTGTATTTACGATCGATTTTACTAATTCTTCAATGTTACTTTAAATAGCTCTGTTTTATTTATAGAAATAGGCTAGCATAATATTAAAAAATGAAACATTATGAGTATAATAGAAATATAAAGCAAGCTATGATCTGTTTCAAAATAAACATTACGTTTCATGTTTGAATGAAAGTATTATTCTTACTTTGTATAGCTGGATAAAATAAAGATTACTTAGAAAAATTTTCTTAACTATTTTCAGGGATTTACTTAACTAGAGCTAAAATCACTGCAGTAAAAAAATCCGAGTCTTTTTAGAACGCTTTGTTTTTATTTCACAAGTATGAAAAGATCAATTTCTTTTTACGATCCAACTATTACCTTATATTTATATTTTATTTCAAAATATTTCAGTACCATCGAATTTAAGTTAAGATTTTTTTTTCAGTTCAAAAATACTCTTTTCGTGAGATGCAATGAAAAAAGTATGTTCATAGAATTTGTTCTGATACACCTCAAGTTTGATATTTGCATTAAAAGTGCAAAATTTATGCAAGCTTTTAAAATTCAGTTTAATTTATAAAAGAAGTGCCTAAAAAGTTCTTTTTATTTTCAAAGATTTATTTCGAAAAGATTTTAATACTTTATTTTAAATTTGAAGAAGCGTCTTAAATGTACGAGTTACTTAGAGTGTCGAATTTATAGGTATATTGTTAAATTAGTTACTATCTAATATAATCTTTTAAATAATGAATCTTAATTGTGCTGCTTATGATCAAACAGCATGTTTTTCATACATTTGAAAAACAACAGTAAATCGTAGTATGCGCTTTCTTCTACTGTAACTATGATCAACACACTAAATTCATACATGTATTTAAAATTTAATTCAATTTATGTAGTTTCAATTTTATGAAAATGCACAAATAAATTCTTCTCACTCTATTTATGCGTTCTGCAGTATTTGAAAGCATCGTTTATTTTTTAATTACAAAAATATCTTTCATTTAGGGTACTAGTTCACTACTCAGTATAATTAGTACCCGAAAAACTACTTAACTTAATCGTAATGCTAATGATAAAAAGTATTGACAACTTATTTATATGTAACAATAATTGAAAGTGAATAACATAAATCATTTTACTGACATGCTATGAGATTAGTGGCTGCGCTAAATATACCAAAATTATGCATTTATTTAAAATTCAAAAGTACAAATTTATAAAAAAAGTACTCACTCAATGGATTTATTCTGAAAGGACGCGGAAGTAATCCTTTGTTGAATTTAAATTATGTATGACTGTGAGTCACATTAATTCTACTATAATTTATAATGATATTGAAATTTATAACACTTTGCAACTTTAGCTGAATATATCTTGATAGTTTTCTAATAATTTAAATCCAATTACTCTTCTAATCTTTAACTGCGAACATGATTTTGGAGAAAAAAAAAACCAGTTTATTCTTATCAAAAAGGAACAATAAACTTAGTTTGATAAGAAGGTCACAGTTCATTCGTGTTATTGTCTTTATCCCCTTATATAAAATGATATCAAATGAAACAAAAGCCTTAAATTCCTGTCAAATGCTGCATAAACCACATAGAATAAATTCAACTAAAAACATTTTTAAAAAAATAAAAAATTCGTGATAAAGCAATACAGAATATAAAAATTTTATGAATTTTTAAGAAAAAGACGAAAAACAATTTCCCGTGTTTGAAAACTTCATTGAACACAAAATGCATTTATAAAATTTTCATTATGTTTACTATTTTCGGAAAAATAACAACTCGAATGTTACGAATATATCACCATTTTAAAAAAGAATATAGGTTTCAAGAAATAAAGGTTTCACGGTTCAAATTTATGAAATTATTTTTTAAGAGGTCTCTAATTTTCCATTTTCTAACACATTTAGAAACTTTTTATACCCTAAAAATATAGGTTTCACGATGCAAATTTGTGAAATTTCTGAGATGTCCATAGTGAAAACATTCCCCTGACAACCTGTTTTGGACCAGAGACCTTTGGGTCATAAAGCTTAAGTCTCCGCAATTTCGTGGCAAATGGCATTAATGTGGAAATATTGCCTGCATTCTGCACCGACTGCCTTTATTTCCTTGATCAAACCCATCGGTCTGAGGATGGGTGATCTTCAAGCCATCTCTGAGTATTGAACCATGATTCTTCACAATGATAGTCCATTGCTTTAACCACTGTGCCATAGCAACTTAAAAGAGCTCATTGTATCGGAACAATCTTAGTGACTTTTTCTGCAAAGAAACTCGGGAAAAATTTGATACTCGAATGAAAAATTGTAGCACAAATTTTTTTTAGGTACATTAGACAAAAAGAATTTTTAAAAAGTTGATAATTTGATAGAAAAATAAAAAAATAAAAGTAATAGTCCCAGTATAACTATCAACTATGTCCACGAATTTTTTTTTCTTCCTTCAATAACATTTTTTTCCTCAATTTATTGATAAAATTTATTGTCATATACACATTCTAGATATGGACATTTCTGGTAACGATGGTGTAGGTATAGGTCCCGAGTTTCTAATAAAAGGTCTCAATTATTAGAAACTTCAAAAAATCCCCCCTTCAGTATTTAGACAAACAAAATAAGTTTCATAAATCGTAATCGATTTAAATTTAACCGAGCTAAGAAATTTATAGGGAAGAGATTTTCATTGATTTTTTTATTAATTCTTATTACATTTTTTATTTATTTATTTTATGCATACATTTTAAGAACAGGTGAGTATTTTTATTTTATTCCACTCAAAAACTGGATGTCTGAGAAAAAATAGAGGCAAGCAGCTGATCCGAATTTATAAACAATCATCGTCTGCGCCAAAAGACATTGGTGTTTAATGTCTGGAGCCTTACCATTAAAATAAATGCATCTCTTTTGAGTATTTTGTTTTTTCTGGGCTTTCTGATTTTAATATCAAGAAAAATCTTGGAATATTTTACCATGCGAGAGCTATGACCCATAACCAAATTTAATAGTTTTTTTTTCACATTACAGATAAAATTTATAAAACTGTTGAACGACTTAATGGAGGAATCCTAAGCCAGTTAAGTGTTTATTTAATAATTAATGAGCTTAAAGACATTGTAATGTATTGTAAACATTGTAAAAACATTAATAATAGTGTTTTCACTTAATAATTTTATTCTTTTGCACCATCTCTTAATCTCCAAGTTCCAAGCCGTAATAAAGCCTGTGAAGTCGCTGAAGATCCGCAGGAACAAGACTTTCTCTAAAGTAGTTATGAGTTAAATAAGCTTGATTCTTTTTGCAACAGATGGCACTGTATTAGTTTCCGTCAAAGCGCGAAAAACATTTTCTTCCGGTCTGCCAACCACGCAAAATGTAAACAAACGAAACATTTGATTCTCATCAACAGCCAAGCTAACGTTGTTACCTATAGGTTACAATTTTTATTTTCAAAATTACACTATTGCTTGATGTAAATATTTTTTGTAACAATTTCTTAACGAAATTCTCGTAATATCAATGTGTATTTGATTTCAATACATACCTTTTTTTTTAACTTTTTTTATCAAAGCATGCAAATTTAGTACCTCAATATTCTTGAAGCTGTTGTTTGTAAAGTTGATTCCATTCATTTTTGTTTCAAATCTTTATCATACAAGAAGATAAATGTATTTTTGGTTATTTTGCTCCAAAACAAACATTTTAAAACAAAGTATTATATTTTATTAGTGCATCATATGCAAAATACTTATGAAACTAAAATGTGGTTTGGCTATCCAAAGGTCCAGATTATAAAGCTAGTAAACTACTTATCACCTACTAGGATCATTTGGTGTTAGAGATTTTTTAAATTAAACATTCAAATATAATTTTTATATTAATATATGCACAATTTTAAGTTCATATTCAGAGATGCAATGGAGGGAGTATGCCAAAAACTGAGTAGTCCCACTGGTTTTTCAATCTCATTTTTGAATTTTTTTATTAAATCTAATTTTATTTTATTTATTATGATATTTGTTTATACTGAATAATCAACTTCAAATGTTTCACCCTAATATTCAAACTTAATTGTTTTAACATTATAAATGTTATCAAAACTGTAGATAACGGCATAGGTTATACAACACTATTGAGCAGACACAAGAATGAGGAGAGAAAAATTTACTGAAAATATTATAGGCATTGTGAATGAATACATAAATAAGATGTTTGAGTTTTCTTGGTAATATTTTTTTTTCACCATTAAATCACACTTATTCAATATTAAACTGTTAATGATGCATGAATACTTTATTTGATTTATATTTGAATAATTATATAAATAGTAATAAAATGGAAATACCCTTATTTTAAAGCTTAATAAGAGAATTATAAAACAAAAGCAACCTAAAAAAACTTTCTGTAACACTTTCATTCATTACTTTTTAAGAAATGTGTACATAAAATGCTAAAATTTTTAATGTTCCCTTGCTGAAAAGTTGCCAGTAAAGCACTGTTCACTAGTCTAAGTTGATGGCAATTCATGTACCTGACTACTTGTCATGTATCGGTTACTATTAGCAACCACTTTAATACTAATAGTACATCAAGAAAATAAGTTATATCCTAAACCTTTTTGATGAGTTAACCTGTTATTTGTGAAATTGCATTGTGCATTTCTGAGGAGAAAGCGCATGTTCATTATTCATTTAAATTTGATCAAACAAAATTAGAAAACAAATTTAATATATATATATATATGTGATTCCTAACTTGCAACACTTTATGTGTAAACATCTTATTGCTATTAAGAGAGTGATCTAATTCAGCCTTGGGTTAGAAAACTGTATGTTGTAGTAGTGACAATTTTTTTGGATCTTCTAACTTTCAAAGAATTAGAAAGAAAAAGATATGTATTCTAATAATATCAAAGATATTTCAATATAGTCATTCATTAAAATTTAAATGAGTCATTAATATGTTTTGTTTCAGATTTTTATATAAAACTTTATATGTGCAAATAGTTTATAATTTATAAATGTAAGATAATAAAAGGGAAAAAATTTATTTTAGTTACTTGTAAAAGATTTGTTACAATTTTTCACAAAAGCTAAAGTAGTATGTAAATTGAAAGGGATAGTCTTAATTTTTTTTTAAGAATTAAAATTTATTTTTTTTTTTTTTTTCGCAGAAAAATCTTTTATTTTGAAATGACTCATTCATCCATAATGGTACTTACATTAGCTATGTCATTGCTTGAGCAGTGTGTCACACTACCAATGCAAAAACAAAACAAAAAAGTTTTTTTTTAAAGAAGTAAAATTGTTTTTATCAAAAATTTCTCGAATCTTATCAAGTGAGATTTAGTATTAAATCAAGATCTCTACTACAGATTTTGAAAATCCAACAATTAAAAGCTTGCATAGTTTTAGATTTTAAATTAAACTATGGCAAAATATTTTTTTTTTAAAAGGATAATCTTAGGTTATGCAAAGAACACATTGGATGCTTTTGAGAATTTTGAATCTTAAAAAATTCATATTTCAAGTACTTAATTCTTTATTAATTAGAAGTGTCTACAATAAGATTAATATTTAAAAGCTGTGATAATTTATAACAATTAAGAGCTTAGCATGTAAAGATTCTAAGTCATGTTTTACTGAAAAATTGAGATTTTTTGGAGAATGATCTTATTGCACATCTTTAATTATTCTTTAATGCTTGATTTATTTTGCTAAATTTCAGAGACCTTGGTGAATGAAGGTAAAAAATGATAGCCTTTGAGTGTTTTCATCATGGAAGAATGTTACAAGAGTGTTTTTCTACAAACAGTCACATAGTAAGTAACCTTAGAAAACTTTTCTCTTTTTTTTTTCAGCAAATCTAAGCACCAAAAGTGTGACATACTAAGCTGAGTTAGATGGATTTATTTGTTTTCATATGTTATAAGCTTCTAAACAAGATTTAAGTTGAAGGCATAATCTTTATTTCCTATTGTCAACTCTAACTTAAAATTTAATATAATCAATTTCAATAAAATGTATTTTAGATCCTTCATCCACTTAGTTTTTCAATTGAAAACCTTTATCTTTTTAAATTTAAAAATTTTGCTGGAATTATTCTCTATTTAATTTAGTTTCTTATATACTTGCAGATAATTTATTCATGCTGTAGCATAAAAGTCATATTACTGAACAACAGCCCATGGTAAGAACTAATGCTCAAGGTGTGTATCTATCAAGTGGTCTTTTATTTCTTTTTTTTTTCTTTCAATCAGATTTAGTTTATTATGCCATTTGATTTCATTACCTCTAGTCACCTGTTTTAGATAGGTTTCAAAAAATTTAGTTTACTGGAAAATTTTCCATCAAAAAGCTGATAGCCAGTGAAGAAAATCAAAGCCCATAAATGAAATGAATAAATTGATGAATTTGAACGAATTAAAGAATGTTTTTAATTGTCTAAAATACTTTTTATTTAATGTAAAGAGATCTTTATAGATTTTTTGGTGCCAAGAAAAGTTTTGAAATTTTGCTCCTTGGTCCAGCACTAAGTCGGATTCTTACTTGAAAAATATTTGTAAAATATTGCTTGTTACAGAATGAAATTCTTTAACAAGTGCTGTGAAATAATGCTGTGAAAAATCGTTAAGTATTTGATAATAAAAATAATAGAAATAAACTTTAAAAATTTGAGTTATAAGCTGTCGATGCTCAGGTAAATATGTACTCTCTGAATAAATAGAAAGAAGTGGACTGTAAATTTGCACAATATTCAGGGTTCGTGATTTTTTTTTAAAAAATCAAAAAAATCTGATTTTTTTTAAGTCAGATTTTTATTCAAAAACACAGTAAGAAATTTAATTTATGATTAAAAATACTTTATAAATGTTTAGTCAAAATTAAATTAACATTAAAACTATATTATAACAATATTTTAGGAGCTCTAACTTACTAAAATAGTTTTTTGTTATAATACATAGCTTTGAATGCATGACAACCATTTTGGAACAAATGCATGATTGAAATTTAAAGACACAAAAATATTGTAAAAATATCGATTTATCGTTTCTTACGAGACACAAAAATATTGTAAAAATATGAATTTATCATTTCTTACGAGACAGAAAAATAAAATTTTAAGAAAAAGTTTTTTGTGAAATTATTCTACAGTTTTTCCTAAAGTTGAATTTGGGAAGGTACTGCTTAACGGTAGTAAATTTGGCTTGGATAGACCCCTGTACTTTAACAATTAAAGCAAAGTTTCAATTAGCAAACCATAATTTTAATTTAAAATTGTGATTTCTTTTTTTTCCTCTTAATTTTTAAAATGACAAAATAAATGTAACATATTGTGTTTATAATCTATATATTTAATCTATATATTTTTATATTAAAATATTCATTTTTAATCCTACATCAATAAAATATAATGTAGATTTTAATTCCATGCTTTTTCAATCAAAAGGTAGAATTTTAGTTAACATTATTTGCATTTTTTTAAAAACAAATTCATGTTTATTAATTACTTTTGACAGCTATGCAAGTCTAAATTAAGACAGCATTAAATGTTTACTTTAATCTGTACTTTCAATCTCAAGAATCAATAGATTTTTAAAAATGTAATTTCAAGCGCGTTGGAATTTAACACACATCAAAGAAGAAAGTAATTTCATTAACTAAAATTAATTACTGTAGCAATTTATTTAAAATAAATTTTAAAACTAAGAAAAGAAAATAATAAAAGTATCAATAATTGAAACACTGTTTTTTAACTTTTAAAATCAATATATATATAAAAAAATCATTTGATTTAAATCAATGTTTTTTTTATAAAAAATCATTTGATTTAAATCAAGCTGATTTAAATTAACAAACCCTGACAATATTTATTTCTTATTATTTGGAAGAGAGCTTTATTTGTAGCTCTTCACAGTTCTCCTACCACTCTCTCTGTATTACACATGTTTTCATTGATTGTGCTACAAAATCGTGCGGATGTATACTGCTGGGCATTGGATTGTTCTAACTATCAACAATTAATATTAATACACAAATCACTGGTAAAACAATAAAATACTCACAAGAATATGAACAAGTAATATACAGTTTAAAAAAGAAAGTAAATAATATTCATTCAATTGGCAATAATCAAATCTTAGAAATGGTCTCTTAAAGATTCCTTTATTTGTTTTAATTCTACAAACATGAACTCTGCCATCCTTTCTCGGAAAGACCTTCACAGTTCTACCTATTGGAAAATTGCATATAACTAAATCATCTTTTATCACAACCATGTCTCAGGTTTTAATGTTTTGTTTATCAAAGTACCATTTCAACCTTTGTTGCAAAGTTGACGAATCATTTTTGTGCCATTTTTTTCCATATCAATTGCACAAAGTTAGTGGTTTTGTGCCATAAATTCAACCTATTAACATTGGTTAGATCCTGTTCAATGATTGATGTGAATGGTATTCCGATCAGGAAAAAAGAGCTGGAAAGTAATCTTGATAACTACTTTCTTTTCTTTTTCTCTTCCTTCTGTGCATTAAATTAGGGGACGGTTGTTTTTTCGTTTATTTCAATTTAGTTGATGCTCGGTAGTCAGTTGTGTAATTTGTTTTTGAAATTTGTTTTCAAGTAAGTTTTTGGACATTATATTCGTATGTATTAGTTTAGATTTCATACTTTTGAATTTTGTACTGTATTTTCTCTACCTGGACTTTGGCAAAACCTTTGGGGTATAGAGAGAGCAACTTAGATATTTGTTGTGCTCTCTCGATAGAAAAGGTTTTGCATTTTTTACTTTCGGGGCTGGTACCCCCTGACGACATCAGCTTCGGTTGTCATATTTTTAATTGTTTTTCTTAATTTATTCTTTTGGATTCAATTTTGTTATGGAATTTCTGCTGCATTGCACATTTTTTCACTGGAAGTGTAGTTTCTAATTACTTTGATTTCTTTTCTTATTTTGCTAGAAATGGCGCACACCATGCCTTGTGACAATATTCAAATCATAGGTTTTGGTCCTTTCTCCTCTTCTTTCTAAAGAATGCACAATTTTCTTGGCTATGGTGAATCAAGATCATCCGGTACATTTTCTTTATGTCTACTGTGAAAGCATAGACATATTTACAAAACCTTATCATGATAGAAAATAAATCACTTTGTACTATGCCTCCAATTAATTATAATGAATTTAAGGAATTACCAGTCAAGGTAGGATAACTCGCATTAAAAACAATTCTTAGGACAGTTGATTGCCTATCAGGGAGGTAAAGGGGGAATGTAGTAAGTGACTTCTTGCTCATCATCCAAAATTTCTGACAAGTGTCCCATCTCTGAATATTCATGAAGGAGATCCTTTTATGAAGATAAATAATTTAACTCCTTATTTAAACGTTTCCACAACAGATTTCTTTTTTCCAACGCAAACTCTAGATCAAGAGTTTCTTTAACGAACCCACAATCAATTTTATTATCTTCCACATTTGATATGCTTCTACTAACTAAATAATCAAGCACAGAATTTTGTAAAATTTCATTCGAGTTAGGAGGGTGAATTTGCCCAGGATTTTATTAGCTAAAAAAAAAGAAGAAAAAAAGGATTCTGCACCGATTAATAAATCAACTCTATGTGGACTGGGAAAATACTCATCAGCTAAGTTAATGTTTTCTAACCCCTTCATACACTTGTTTATTTTTTTTTTTTGAGGGTGTGAGATCAAGAATTTTGGGAACAACTAATAAATTTAAATCAGTGTTAATAGTTTGAGCTTTATTTATTAAAGTAGCACATACTTGAGACCTAACAGAAATAGCTGAGTCGCTCAACCCAGACACAACTATGTTTATTTTATTCTTACTCAATTACAGTTGACCTGCACATTCTTTATTTATGAAATTAGACATAGATCCTGAGTCTAATAAAACACGGACTTCACTCCCATTTCTGAAAGACTCACATAAATAACAAATTGCTGTGCTCAAAAGAACTGTTTTGTTTTTATTCCAGACATAACTCCAGAGCGGAAAAGATATTGGCGTCAATGTTTTGCTCTTCGCATACTGCAGGTGTAAATTCAGAAGCTAGCTGAGAGAGGGGGAGATTTCCTCTTTCAATTCATTTTTTATTTGATTCTGAATTCATAATGTTCTCCCAACTAGTTGTTAAACGTGATGCAAACTGAACGTACGTTTCATTTAACTATCTTGTGGTTCTGAAATTGTCCAGAAAGGATGGAGCAGTTAGCTGAAATTCTCTGAGTACTATTTCTTTCACTTTTTCATAATTATTAAGATCATCATCACTTACGTATGCCATTATATTAGACAATCTTTCACCAAGCAGATTAAGAAAGTTTTCCGATTTATATTTATCTAGTACAAAACTTAACAATAAATACTCGTCCTAAAGAGGTAAAAAAGAATCCTCAATTTTCGGGTGTACTAGGCGATTTAATGGTTAATGTTCTAATACTTTTAATCAAAGAATCTCGGGAATTATTAGATTCAAGTAATTCTATGTTATTCTCTTTCGACTCGGCACCAATATGTGTAATTTCTAGTTCAGTTTTTGTTCTCTCAAGCTCTTTTGGCTCAGCACGAATAGGTGCAATTTCTAGTTCAGTTTTTGCTCTCTCGAGCTTTAAACTCGCTACCTTTAATTGTTTTGATTCTTCAGACTTGCACTCTTCTAATACTTAATTTACAAGATCACCTACAGTTTCAGAGTCAGTTGGATATTTTTCACAACTTTTATTTATATCAATTAAATTTATATCAATTAAATTTACCGCAGTCATATTATCATTAATCTCTAGATCTAGTTCTCTGACAATAAGCCTTAAATCATCTTTTTTACAATTCTTTAACTGTGTAAATCAAAGTACTTTTTTGTAAAAAAATCATAGCAATCCTACTTTGAAGAGGAAACCACGAAGCCACTGATTTCTTGGAACACAGTCACAATGGTTATCTCTCGGAACTAGAAACAAAACTCTTTTCATTCTAATTATTTTAATATTGCTGATTTTTCAACCTGGTGAGCAGACCACTCATGTCGATGCTCAGGTAAATCTGAACTCGCTCAATAGATAGAAAGAAGTGGACTGTAAATTTGTGCAATATTTATTTCTAATTATTTGGAAAAAAGCTTTATTTGTAGCTCTTCATAGCTCTCCTTCCACACACTCTCTCTCTCTGTATTACACATGTTTTTATAGATGGTGTTACAAAACCGTAAGGATATATAAGCAGGGCTCAGTGTATATCCAAATTCCATCAGTTAAATTGTTGTATGATAAAAATTGAGCTGGCATCAATGTCTCCCAAAGTCCAACTGAATTTTCTGAAATAGACTTAGGTGTTTCTTGTGGAGTCCATGTTAAATTGCTTTTTGTTTTATCTTTGTTTGCTTATCAAATGAGCTCAATAACTCTTATTAATAGACTTTTATGTTTATTGAAATTAATTTATTTAAATGCAAACTTATCTATTTGTGAATCAAACAGATCTTGGTTAAAACAGATTATGTGAAAAATTCAACGAAAAAGCTGATTTTTTTATTCATTTAGAGAACTGAACACTTTCTTTACAAGTTCTATATGCCTACTTAAAAAAGCTCACCTTGAAATAACTCATCAACTCTAATTTAATTTAATTAAATTATGTATTTTGATTGAAAGTTAGCTTCAGTATCTCTGTGCAAGCTTTTTTGACCATAGGTTACTTAAGATTGGAAATTAGGGATTTTGTCTCTTCATTAGAGAATTTGAGATGGTGCGGGTTAAATTTTTTGTAGCATCGATATAAACCATTTAAATCCTTTCATTAAGATGTTCTCTACCATGCTCACTCATTGCCCATGGAAGCATTTTTGTTTTTTAATAGCAAGAGTTTTTCAAATTTGTGCTTTTAGTGAATTTCTTAGGAATGTAAATAATAGAATTTTAGTCTCTGTATTCTACTGAATAACACTGGGAACAAATGTTTTGTTGCATTTATACAAGTACTTGATCTTATCTAATTTGTTAATGGGGATTCCATACCTGAAATTAGTTTTGTTCGTAAAGTTAAAAAAAAAATTCAAAATATTATCTTTAGCTTAGATTATTTTTGTCTGAATGTACAGGTTTATAAAAAATGTAAAGGTTTATGTATGTATATATACACTTTTGAACTTGTCTGATCATTTGAAAATAACACTTAAGACAAAAAACATACCACCTTACTATATCGTATCATTAACTAAAACGTATTATCGCCATCTTTCTATTGTTCCCTATGTAGCAGAGAAACATTAACTTAGTTTTCACTTCAGGAAATTTTGAAATATCCTGGTTCGAAATGTATTATTAAATTTTATGAAAACCGTAGCTTACAGAGAGAGACAGATTGCTCAGTAACATTAAAATTTTTCAAATCTGTTCAAAAATCTCATGCAGCAGAAAACAAGAAAAATTTGATTCCTTGTTTAACCGGTTAAGGAAATGGGCAAAATTGAGAGAATGTTTCTCCCCTACACACAGTTCCCCTATCAGTTAACATGGGAAAACCGGTTTTGCTATGCAGAGAAGACTGCAGGTTAAAATGCGACTTTTTACGTGCAGAACCGTCAGTGGGTTAATCTTTCAAAAGATTGAAATTTCCAGGAATAATTTATAGGATTCACCTCTTGAAATTAATGTAATTAAAGTTTATGATCAATCTTTAATTTATTTAATAGTATTCATGCTGTAGACTTTTTTCTTTGTTTTCCCTCAATGAAAATTGAGCTTATGGGTGAGTTTACTAAGAATTTCTTTCTTTTTCTCCATTCAGTATTTCCCTTTGATGACATGTTGAAAAATCAATCTGTTTCCAAAATAATAGTCTGGTTTAATGTGACAAATAAATCTAATACAAATGCAGTGTTAAAAGAAATTGCACGCAATGAAACATATTATGGTATCTAAAACGAATACACATTTTTAGAAACAATTTTGTTGTTCAGTTGCAACTTACAAAGCCAGCCATCTAAAATTTTGGAAACTCGCGTTTTTTATTTATTATTTATTTTTTTAGTTCAGTTTTTTAAGTAGTTCTAAGTAAACTTTTGTCCAAGTACCAGAAAATATAATTTGCCTTTTACATGTGATTTGCTGCAAAGCCTGACATTTCCATATCCTGTTGCTTTTGATCCAGAGTTTACATATTCTTGTTGTTTAAAGATAATCTGTCTTGTGCTGAACTGTTTACACAAAGTTCCAATTAAGTTTTGTGTTATTTTTTTTTTTTTTGACTTTGAAAATGTTTGTTGAGGAAGTCTCTCCTTTATAAATCAAGAAGATAGAAACATGAAGAATGAAAAGAAGAAAAAAATCAATCTGCTTTAATTTGTTTTCCATTTTTACATTTAGTTTCGGGTTTTTAATTTGTTTAATCAAAATTTATAACAGTTAATGGTGAATATTATTTAAACATTACATAGTATTATGGTTTCCTCATCATCGGTTGATATTTTAGTTACATATTATGCACATAAAATTCATTTATCACGAGAGGCTGTTTTTTTTTTCTTTCTGAAGCTTTAGAAATTCTTTAACTCCTAGTCTATAGCAGAAAAAAAAATTCAAATATATTTCACTTAAATTATGATTTTAATATTTATAATGCAATTCAGCTGAACTAAAAATTTTTTTTTTTATTTTCATTACATCAATTTTATTTTGTTAAATTGAATGAAATTTGAATTTTGATTTAGAATAAAATCAGCCAACTCAAAAGTGCATTACAAAACTATCCAAATTAAAAATTGAATAATCTCTTGCTTTTATCTGCTTCTGTCTACTGAAATTATTTTTAAAAATACAGTATCTTCATGCCTCTGAAACCATAGTTTTGGTCCTTATCTTATTTTTGCTAAGTATTGCAGTAAATCAGCACTCCTTAAAATTTTTATGTTTGCAGGTAGCAGGTTTTACTACCCAATGATACAATTGCAAAATATACTGTGTGTAAAATAATCTTAGATGTTTGCTTTTCAGAAAGTTAGTTTTTCTTTATTAAATGTTTTAGTTTTGCACCAAGATAAGCCTGCAATGAGAAAAATACAAGGGAGCTAATAGTTGAACTTTGTATATTTATTGGTGCTGAAATTAAAAAAATAGTAATTTTTTTCTATTACATCAGGTTTTTTTTAAAAAAATTCAATTTTACTTGGATTTTTTTTTTGAACATTTACCATAAAAAAATTTTGGTTTTCAATTTCTTCTCTCCCTGCCTGACCAACAGTCTATTTTGTTTAAATCTTAAAAATACCTCTATGACATCCCCCTGTCCCTCAAAATCTTATCATGGTACGCTGATCTCTCAAGAATGCTAGCAAGCAAATCGGGGATCATTTTTCTGGAAACAATTTTAACGGCTGCTTTTTACGATACATGGCTTCGAGTGAGAGACGTTGTGAAAGTTTCCCGGGTGACTTTTATTGCGTACGTTCTGAATATAGTGTTGGTAAAACTTACGTGAGACGCATTACAGACAATGTAAGACAATTTTATCATGCATATTTTGACATGGAACTCGAAAACCAACGCAAATTTTGTGCTTTTCATTGTTCATATATATATATGTATAACCGTCATTAAACAGCTGGCCCAATTTTGGGTTTACGACTAGTAATATTCAACTCCGTAGCCTTGAGATTATGAACCAATCCAGAAGACGAGACAACTCCTAGAGGTATGTACCCCCAGAGGTATGATTTGTTATGGAAACATAGAGGACTTTGTGATTCGACAGATTTAATGTGCACCAGTCAATCATTTACTACACGGTTGGCGTTCGACCGAAGGGGATCAGACCTGCTTCCTTTTGGAGATGGGCCCTGTGCCCTAATAACCAGGCTATCCCGGCCTTTTCTCATAAAGTTTGTGTGCAGTGTCTCAATGATCTACGCTTATGGTTTCAAGGAAAGAAGACTGCTTTACAATTTGGAATTCATATGACATGGACCCCAAAAATGAAAAACTTTTGATCATTGGTCATCCATACATCAATCATCCATTTTATGTAAGTTACCTTAATAAATATAAATTAAAAAGTATGTAGGTCATTTTCTTCTAGAAACTCTCTTAACCTCAGGGAAACTTATTGTTTTTCTTTCGACCAGAGGCAACGTGTGCGATCTGGCAACAGTGCTTTTCATTCATTTTAACCTATAAATAATTTGCCAATTGCTTAAAAATCAATTTTCCATCACAAGACTCAATTTTATATTGATTAAAATGGAAAAATGGCAGTTACCAAATAATACATGCAAAGTTCTTTGAGACAATTTTTGAAATCTGCACATCAAATAACAAAAAAATTAATGAAAACTTGTATTTTTCTAATTCGTAAGCTTGTGTTATATTCAAATATGTATTATGAATTTAAATTGTTCCCTCAAATTACTATACCTACCTGTGTATTATCTCCAGTGGCGCATATTCCACTGCACCTATTTCTAGCTGTGATGGGGTTTGTTTAGCACAACAATCTACTTTTATTTATGATGGAAATAACCTAAATACACAATATAATTTTAGTATATACTTAAAAATAATAATACGTTTAAATCTTATGTAATAATTTTTAAATTATTTAAAGCTACGATTGATAAATGTTGTTGTGAATACAGAATAATATTTATTTTTAGCTGATGAAATAACTTTGAATTTCAAAGCCCCTCACAAAAGCAGAATTTACGTCATATGTGAGTGAATCTTTGTCCCTGGATCATGCTGAAAAGGCATTCACACTGGATGTGAAAAAAAATCATGTATGTGAATTCAAAGATGCAAACAGAAACCTGATTGTCAAGATCTCCCTGGGTTAATATATTTCCCAATAAGGTTCTTGCTCACATCTCTACATATTCGAATTTTTCGCATCCGCTGTGAATAGTCCTTTACACCTTTATGGCGGAATCTCGGAAAATAAGTTCAGCAGATTATCCCCATTGACAATTTTCATGTTTTTAACAGGTAATTCGCAAATTATACTGAAAAAATTGTGGTGGATGAAGCCAAGAAAAATTTTTTTTGATAATAACTAAATATTTGTTTTTCTTTTTTCAGTTCCTTTTAAAACAAATTTTCATTTGAAGTTGTATGCATAATGCTTGTGTTCTTGAAATGAAAACTGAATGAAGTTAAATCAAACAGTTTTCTTTTAAGTAAGTTATATCTATCTTATTATAGCCTATATTATTTTATCCCCTCTTTAAAATATTTCATTTTTATTCATCAGAAACTATAACAAATTAATGTATGAATTATTTTGATTGTTTTACAGAAACCATAGCCTTTTATTACATGTTTATAATTATTTATTATGCCTCTTGTAAATATCTTTATTGTATTTTGTAATTTAAATAATATTTTTAGTGATGTCACTGATTTCATTTTCATATAACAATGCCTTTATTTCCATATGCGTTTTTAAACTTTTTGTGTTTGTTTAATATACCTGCATAACAATACAGGAAATTTGTATTAGTTAATCCAGTGTACAGTGCCTGTCATTTAATGTGATTACATCAGTACCTGAAAGTTTTGAATCCAATAAACTGCTAATTCCATTGCCATAATATCTTCTTTTTATTTAAAAAAGGTATATCTTATCTGTTTTTTGGGGTATTAAGAGAATATGCCCTGAAAAGTACAGTTTAAGAGCCAGTTTTTTCTTTTAAAAAAATCAGGCAGTGTTGGATACTTGGCATTTTCGATTTTGTTAAACTTTTGACGATATCTTCTTAATACAAAACTATTAGAGGCATAATTTCTTATTCCCCCCCCCCCAAAAAAAAACAAACATTTTCACGCTTTTGGAGACTAAAACAGAATTTTAAGAAAAACACAACTATTTACAAGACACATTACTTGTGAAAAGACCGGATGTTTAGCATTTTAAAAAGACTTAAAGTGCTTATTTTTCATTGAGTGCTTGTTAAGAATGCTTAGTTTTCCTTTTTTCCAAAAAAATACCTTTTTTGTTGCCATGAATCATGTCATTCTACACAATCCTTTCCAGCATACTAACTACTTCATAGTACAGAAACATCAATTGTTTTATATGTTTGAGAAACTACTCACTAGTTCTTATAAACATATAAGACTTTGATGTATTTTTTTTATATTTATTGTGCTTATTCATTTAAATTAATTGTACTTATTAATTTTGTACATACATATAAATTTTGTTCATTTATTAATATTATTTTTACTGTCAACTATCTAAAATTTGTTCTTCTGTTTTTGTTGTATTTTATTAAAGGATTTTATTTACATCTAATTTTCAAAGTTAAAAATTTTATATGAAATATGTTAGTTTGAGCGTGATATTAGATCATTATTTTAATTTATCTGTTCATTTTTAAATATTTTTTCCTATCTTGCATTTGCACTTGCCTTGTCTTGTAATTAAATTAGTGCCTGTTGTAGCCTAATTTTCACATTTCAAAGTTTCAGTAGCACTCAAGCTCTCATCTCAATTCCCAAAGAAGCAAATACAAGACAAGTTAATTTCATTTTTTCTTGCTCTCAATAGACACTAGGAATATAAACCTCTAAGATGGCATTTAAACATTTTAACTCACAAAACAGATTGATAAAGTCAAATATATCACACTCATAGAGAGGTAGCCAAATTTGTAATTATCATCAACCACATCGCATTAGCAATGCAAAGCATCATGAGCTGGTGAGGGGCAGAAAAAGGCAAAAATTTTCCTAAAAAACATCAAATGTTTTTGCACTAGATATGCCGCAAATGTAAGTTGTACATATCATATTTTGTCAAGAAGGATATTGTTGGATGATTCTTTCACTACTTTTCATGTAACTAGTTGAAAAGTCTATGAAATAAAACTTCGAATCAGGATCAAAATTAATTTACTTATTGTAGAATATCATATGCAGATTTGACAATACTTCAAGTAGACCCACTTGAAAAAAGTTATTTAAAAAAGATCCATTTTATAATTTGTATAATTTTGGATATTAATAATATTATAAGAAACAGAATTTTTTAAAATGTGCTATAGGGGATTAGAGTCCCTCCAATAACCTTGCTTTATTGAAAATGAAATGTATCATAAGTTAAGCCCATCATCATTGAAAACAAATGAATGAGACAAATTTTTATTTTGTGATGTAGCTAAGTTAACTGTTAATCGATCATAAAGCGTTCAAAGAGCTTTTCCCTTTATCTAATACACACAAAGTAGAGCTTGTTATGTAATAGAATCAGTTATATCTCTTACCTTGCTTCAGAGATCACCTAACTTATGAGACAAACATGAGCAATTAAACTAAAGCAGTTAAGGAGCTCCACCCCATTTCCGTTCTGTTTTAGCCATTGAAAACTTTGGTGAAACAGGAATGCCACAAAGATTTATTAATACCTTATAACATCTTTAGCCAATATGAAAATGATTAAAGAGTGGAAGAGTAAAAATAAATTTTTGATATCCTGTCTTGTGATATCAAATAAAAATTAACTGTTAAAATAATTAACCAATGGATAATAGTTATATATAGGATATTCTTGGAGTGAAGCAAGTAGTTACAAAAAAGAAAAAATTATTTATTGTAGGTAAAAATAATAAGGTTGAAATGTGAAAAATACATGGTAATATCGATATAACATTGGAGGGGATTGAAACAATGTATTCAATAAATACTATTTAATTATTTTTCTCTCTTATTTTAAGGTTAATTAAATTATTTGTTTATTTTCTAAGTATTGCAAAGTTACCTCAATTAGAGGAGATGTGAAGGAGGAATTTCAAAATTGACCAAAGTGAATTGGAAACTAACAACAGTATTATGCAGACAAAAGTGGAAGTTAATAATGTAAGGAAAGATAATAATAAAGGTATGCATTATGTAAGTAATAGCAAATTACTTTTTCTCTCTTATTTTAATTATAATTAAATCTTTATTTAAATATAGTTATGTAGATTTGGGGTCTTCACTGTCATGGATGATAGTGATAAAGGAATTCAGTATGCATTTAATAACTATTATATGATTATTTGAATTAATTTATTTTTACTATATTTTTAAGAATGTTAATTAGATTGAGTAAAATATACAATAGTTATTATGGCATAACTAGTAATTATTATGGCTATCTATAGTATGATAACTAAGTGCTTTTATACTAAGGCTTGTTCAAACTAATGACTTTGTTACAAATTACTATCTAGTGTTAATTGGTTCTTATAGTTGTATAGTATTTTGGTACCAGCAGGTTCTTTTCTCTATATATTAAACAAATCATTACAATAGCTGCCACTGTTTTGGGTGTTCAAGTTTATGCTAAACTTTGTTATGCTTCACAGAGATAATGACATTTAGAAACTGTTTAGAAAAGTTTACTGTAAGTATGATATGTTAAAAAAAAAAATTTGTTCAGTAATTATTTCAAGAGTAAAAATACTTATTGTAAATACTATGCAGGTTGTTCAGTGGCCCACAAAAATACATTGTAATCTTATCAGCTTTTCTTAATTAACTGTTTGTACCTTTAACAGTGTCATACATTGACACATTGTGAGAAGAATTCAAATTTCATGATACTGTCAGCAGATATTGAAAAGAATTAATATGCTTTCTTGATGGGAAAAAAAATTAGTGCAAATAATCAGTTAGAATAGGCACTATCTTTGATCTATCTCTAAATTGTACCTAATTTCATGTGTGGATGGTATGAAAATGCATACAGAATTAAACTTTTAAACAATATAAAATATTTATTGCTTAAAACAATTAGCTACGCTTTTGTGTTGAAATAGCAGAAAATATCTTGTACCAAAACTGTCAGAACTGTGAAACTACTGAAAAATTAGACTTCATACTACATATTTTTTTAAAAAAATTTAATTTCTTGTAGATTGAAGAAAAAAATCTCTTGAAGAAGCTTCTCAGTTCTTTAAATTTTTTAGCAAAATTTCTCAAGACCAGTTCATTTAATCAAATTTAGAAAATATGCCTTTTATCATATGTTATGTAACATTATATTGATTTTATACTTTTAAAATCTGGTGAGGAATAACTGAAGATGTTTTGGTTTTTATTTTGTGTTGCTGAATAACAGTTATTGTTATTTAGCTTGTTATTGTTATTAGCAATTATTGTTAAAGATTAAAGCTATTTCATGGTTTATTTGAAACGTTTTCCAATAATTTATTTCAAAAGATTTAATGGTATTTCATTAACTCTATATACTAGCCTTGATGCAACAAAATTTTATTTAAACTTTTTTTAAAATTATAGTTTTTCTTAAATTTATAGTGAAACGATGACAAAAAAATGTGTAAAAATTCCATTTTTATCATACCCAAAAACTAAAAACTTAGAATATTCATTTTGTTGTGCCATGTAAATTGAAGTTCAATGTGCCTCTGCTGTTACTGGTTATACACATAAGCCCTACTCTTAAAAAGTTAAAACTCTGTCTTTTTTATTTTAAGTTTTGGAGCATCAGATTAACTTTGACATGAAATTTGTGGGGAAAATTATAAGCTTTGGCTATATTATACAATTGGAACAATGCTGTTTCATTAAGATAATGGCAGTTTGTTGTAAATATATATCAAAAATATAAGAAAACATTTTCTAAGATTTTCTCTTAAAATAATAGTGGTGTTTTGATCGTTACATGTCAACATGCTCAATTTTTCAAAGATTTTATTAGATCAATTTTTTCAAAACATGCAGAAAATTGCAAAACGAATTTTATATAATTAAAAAATCTATTGAAAATATTATCAAAAGAACATCTAGAAGTGAAATTTGCTTTAAAAAAAGGCATTCTAATTACCAAAGAAGTACTTTAAACGTTCAAATAGTTTGTTATCAATTCTTTTTATATATATAAAAAAAGAAACAAGATAATAGGAAACTTGTTTAAAATCTAAATGGCTAGAACTACAGATTCCTCAAAATCTTTTATTTCATTCAATTAAAACTTATGGTTTCATTAACTTTTTTAAAAATTATTTTAATAAATTAATCCAATATTGTGTAGACACTTTAAAGTTTGCAAATAAAATAAAAATTACCAAGTTTAATGATTATTTACAAATAAAATTTTAAAAAATTAGTTAAAATTCGTATTTTAATCTAAGTTATTACTGTGTTTTGTAAAAAAAATCTTTGTAAATTATCTTACTTCATTTTCATTTGTTAACGTTATTGAAGCTTTTCATTCTTGGTACGTATTGTTTTCCTGTTTATTTTTAATTTCTAACTTTAACACTCAAACACTATTATTTAAATGTTTTCAATTCCTCTTATGTTCATTGCAAGTGAACTATTAGTTTTTTTAAAAACGTATTTTTGTTTGCTTTAATGTGTTTAAATTAATTTAAAATTGGTTTAAAAAACAGCTTTTTTAAACAACATAGTTTACTCACTAAACATTCCTTACAGTAAGATTATCCTAACCTCAAATCTAAATTTCCCTTCTTTGACAATTAGCAAACTCTGAACTTTGTTAGTACAATTGATGTTTAAATTTTGAGGATTGCAACAAATTGACCAGAAAATTTATCGTTGAAGGTAGTAATTTTATTAACACTAACCAACAGTACTGATTCTTGACACTTTATTCTAGTTATACTTACATAGATTTAAAATTCAATGACTTTTTGTGCCCCAATAAATGTTATGGTTAAAATAAATAAGTTATTATTTTTCACACTTATTAAGTTTAAACAAGTAAAATAAGTCTCAAATTTGACTTTGTTAATCTTAACTTTACTAATATTGATGAGCTTTGTACGTCATTTTATATTTTTAAGCACTAAATTTGAACTTCGTGAAGCTAAAATCAAGCAAAAAATTGTTTTCCTATTCGTTCTCAATTTGCAAAAGATTTCAGATTTTAAAAATATGAACCTCTTTATTCTCTTAATTTCCCAATTGCAACAGTTAACTTCATAAACAAATTTTTCGCTATTATGTTTGAACAAAAATTTAATTTTATTGCATATATTTTCTGTATTACTTATACACAAAACATATATTTACTATAAAGCATTTAATAATTAATTTGATATTCTTGAAAGTTGATATGTTAAACAGATAGAAATTAAGCTTGAATACAAACGTTATTATATGAATAATATAAATGTTTGTATCTGTTAAACTTTTCAAGCCATGTGCTCTTTCTTCCCTATACACCATTTAATTTAATTTCTTTGAGTATTTGCTGTTGTATATCTTTTACATTCAGTTTAGCACAGCATGAATTGCAGCTGACATTAACTCAAAATCTGGGTCAGGATGAAAAGAAATTTATAAATTTTTAATGAATTAAATTTGAAGCTTCATTCTGAGCAAATGCTTTTTAAAAAAATTAACAAAATTCTGGATTAAGCTTAAAGCAAAAGGTTAGTAACTTTTGCTTTAAGCTTACTCTTTTGTAGGTAAGGGTGGAGCAAAGGTCAAGAAATTCCCAAAACAAGGTAGCATAACTGAATGAGCTTTAAGAACATTTAATGTTACCATTTAATGTATTTTGCTTACTTCAAAATTTATTTAACTAGTTGCTCTGTTTTTAGATATGTTATGATTGTATCTGCAGTAACAAAATAATATCTGGCTTATTATGGAATATTTGTAAGCAGCTGCGATCAAAGGGAAAATGCCATACAGCGGGATGAGACAGAAGTAGATAAATGCTTTGGAAGTTAATCTGTAATCATAAATACCTTTTTTTATAATTTTGTGAAGAACATTACAAACTTGTTAATTTTGTAGGTTATTTAAGTTATCACAAATCGGATTTTTTTAAAAAATTCATTCATTCGTAAATTATGGCTTCGATGCAAATACTTTCACTTTCCCCTGTTTTTCTTGTTCTTAAATTTATTTTATATAGTACATATTTATTAACTTTTGTTTATTAGTGAAACAACAAAATCTGGGTCATGTTAAAAAGAAATTTATAAATTTTTGATTTAAAATTCATAAATTGTCACTAGTAATCTTTTTTTAAACTACCTTTAAGCGGAATAAAGGTTTTATGTGTATATCCTTAAAATAACAGTATAGAGATATGAAAATTTTACAAAATATATCTGCACCACGCTTTTTTTTAATGTGGTGGATAAAGCTTCATTTTCAATATTAAGGAGAAGTTTTAAAGCTTGTTTTTTCGAAACCAAGTCACCACCTTGATTTGTGTAACTTTGTACCACCGAATTTGTCAGTTCAAAATCAACTAAAATCTTATTCTGGCATCAAATCTTATTATTATTGAAATATACACATGAAATTTCAAAAATACTCTAAAAATATTTTTTTATTGTCTAAATTTTTGGAAGAAGACAAAAAAAATCGAAAGGAAAGTATGGAATTGTTAATTATTGTTATCTATTGTTGTTATATATTAGTATTGTTGTTATGAATGATTTATTTATTAATTCTTCAATTATTTATTTAAATATCGGTTTTCATTAGGAAGCATTAAAATCCACATCAAACAAATTAGAAATTTATTTAGAAATTGGGTAATTTTTTTTATTTAACTTTTTTGTACCATAAAAATCAAATAACCATGTTCAATATCTCTCTTTTCTTTATCATGCTTAGCATAAAATTGTGCCTCTCTACTCAGATTAATATCTGCAAGCATTCTTAAGAGTACAATATGAAGCAATACTTAACAGAAACATAGCTTGTTTCATTTATCTCAACATCTTCTCCACATATTGTGTCCTCAGACAAAAACATTATCTTCGTCCGTTTTGTTTTTACAGATCACTGCCTTCGTTTTTTCTTGACACGTAACGAAAAATTGGCATAAAATCACCCACCAAATTGTAATATTCTTCTTTACACATAAAATAAATACATCACATAAAGTTAAAAAAAAAGACAAAATTTCCATTGACAAGAAATCAATGGGCAGCAAAAGTCGCCAAGTAATGATTAAAACCTCTATTCCTTTTGATGTTGCCACTCAATAATAGTGAAATAGTTTTAATTTTCTATAAATGAGGAAAGAGTGACAGGACCACCTATTCTTATCTTAGGTGGTCCTTGATGTTATCTATGGTCCAATAGATAGTGAAATTTTAATTACTTTCAATCTTGATGATTGCTTAAACTATTTAGTTCTCTGGGTGTATGTTATTCGGCAAAAATGACTACTCTTAACCAGCATAATGCCATATGCTTAGAACAGACTTTATAAGTTATGAAGGAAGTGGTTTGATTGGATTAGCAGTGTATCAAAATATGTCCAGTAATTGTGAATAATTATTTGCTCTAGTTTTGAGTATTCATGTTTTAGCTGCTTCTTGTTGTAACATTCTTTTTTCTTTGGACCACAGTAATCAATATATCGAGCTTCGACTTTCTTATTATTTTATCTTCGATTAAATATCATAGTAAGAAACTAGTTGATTCTATTGAAAATTAACCAGGTTCAACAGAATCGCAGTTAAGAAATTTGCCTGAACTTAATTATTTTTTTCAATTTATCAAAGCTATTATGATTTAAATTTTCTCTCTTAATTTGAATATATTTTATTAAGATAATTTGAATTTTGTTAAAAAAAAAAGTTTGAAATAGAAAGTGGTATTAGCTTATTAAAAAGAATTTTTTGAATTACATTAACTAAATAATAATTTGTGTTGATGTGTAACTTCTATGTGCTATTGTTCTATCACAGACTATTAATCTTTGCTGCCAACCAATAGCAATATTTTCAAATTTAAAAATAAATTCTTGGTATATATTTTTAATTCAAGATTTTGCAGATTCGCAAGAGCTAACCATGGAGATGTTTTCTGATCAAATCTCTTCTGCAGCAAGTCCTGTAAAAAAATAAAAAGACTGTGCAGCTGAAAGCAACATTATAATCATAAACAATTGAAGCTGAATTTCTAATTTATAATGTGTGTAAAAAAATTCATTTAGGGCAGTATTATTGTTGCAAGTTTTCTATCATTTAATTGAAAATAAATTTTATACATAAGATTTTATTTGCTCAGTTACTGTCTAATTGTGATAGATTAAAAATGTTTACAGTAGGACTTTTTTGTTTAATTTTAATATAATATTACTTGATGATTTTATTCAAATAATGCATGTTGTACTACAAATTAAACCTTTCACAAATCAAATTTGTTGTCTTTAGGAGAAGTAACATACAATTTTTGAGATGTTGATTTTTCTTTAAATCTTTTTAATAAGGGAAAATTTTAGATGATCTTTGTATAATATTTTTCTGTAAACTTTCTCTCTTTTTGTATTTAGTAAGTTAGTGCAATTATGTTCAACAGTTCTGAATGATAAAACAATATAAGGTGCCAAATTGATTAGTGCTGATTTAACATACACAAAAGCATACCTTTTCTTAAGTGAATAGGTATTTTTTTGTGACATCTGCTTTTTCTATTATGTGTAAATAAAAAACATTTTAAGAATTCTGGTTTTTGTTCTATGTGTGAATGAAAAACATTTTAAGAATTCTGATTTTTATTTTATTTTGAAAAATTCTACATAGGTTAAAAAACACATCTGTAATTGGCAAAATATATAATCTTAACCATTCATTTGAGCTGTTCATATTTTAACATTTGCACTTTTGGTATCATATTATGTTGCAAAAGGAGAGACTTTTTATTGTTATCATCAACTGCTTTTTGCTAAATGCATTTAGAATCTTCTCTTTTTCAAAAAAAAAAATAATAATAAATAAATAAATAACCACTCACGGCCCTCTCTCTTTGCCATCAAAATTTAAGAATTTGGAAATTTTAGTTTCTGCACTGTAACTTGTTAAAGAAAAATATTTTCTTAGTTCTTATGAATAAGAAAAAAAGCCAGTACTGCTAATGAGTTGTAGCTTTTTTACAAATGTAACATATGCTGTAACTATTGCAAAAATGAAGGAATGATTTAAGAAATGTGTTAAAACATAATTTTTTAAGATTTTATTTAATATGCACAAAGAGAGGACATATAGCAAATATCACTAGAAACTGATGCATTGAGTCTCCTTCGAGCTGTCAAATGACAAATGTGCTAAAATTAATATCAAATTGAAAGGGTACGACGGAAAAATTTAAAGTTTTGTTACAAGCTGGTCGAACAACTTCAGAAACACATGCAGGGTTGTTTAAACTGAAGTGGTTTAGATCAATTATTTATTTTTTTTTTTTACTGACTTACTTGGGTTATTTTTAAAAGTAAAAATCTTCTTTAGCAATTTAATCTCCTATTCATATAAATACTTGGTGTTTAAATGTATAAAAATGAAAAAATAGCAAGTTCTTCCTTGAATATCTTTTCAATTTTGAGTTCAATAACTAATGTGCGTCGGTGTTACTCGTTATTTAGTTACTCGGTTATCTAGTTTTTAAATGTTTATCTATTATCGTGCTCCTGCAAAAATACATTTAAAATAAATTACTGTCAACAAATTTAAAGTTAAGTCTTAAAAATTACTTAGAATAAAACAGACCAACTACTTCTTGTTTGGATATTTTTTTTTAATAGTTCATATTAACTTCAAGGTTAAGCAAATTATTTTAAAGATCTTGTTAAATCGTTCATTTAGCTTACAGCTATGAAAAGCATAATTAGAAATGAGATGCTGTTCTTAATTTTTTAATTTATTTTTGAAATTTTTTTCTCTAGTATCAATGGCAAATTTTTACTAAAAAAATGCATTATCTTTTTATTTATGTTTTTAATAATTTCGTATTCATAAAAAAACAATATTCAGAAATTATTTAAAATACTATCAAGGTATATTATTTCATGCTGCATAATTAAAAAATTGATATGCATTTTGCTTCATTGGGTTAAAAAATGACGAAGTATTTTATTCTTTAATTATTATTAATTCATTCGTACTAATAAATACCATTACTCTAACATTTTATGAACACATATGTTAACATTCAATTTGACGTTTTTAGCCCTAGTCATCATTCCATTATTCTTAAATAAATTTTTAATTTAAAAAATATACTTAAATTTTTTTATGTTTTGCTTAAAATGTGTATTGATTTAATTGTAAAAAAAAATATTAATGTTTATTTTATTAAGTAAATTAGGATTATTGCTATATATTGTATACTGCTACAACATCAAATGATGCTTAAGCATGACATTTTCATAGATAGTGGCAAGCAATGGGGAACTCACTCTTTTACACACGTTACTAATATACCAATTTGAATTGAAAAATAATTTTGATGTTATATTTATTAAGGTGAGTTGTAAAGTATTGTATAAGCATAATCAAAATCTTCACTTACTCTCTTAACTTATTAGTATATTTATTAAACGAAAGTAGATATTTTATAATTCTTTATTAAAAATATTAATTTATAATTATATAATATATTTTTAATGCATTAATTTATTTTAATTTGGGGCACAAAATATTACTTTACTATTGTTTCAAATAACCAACAAAAAAAACCGGTTTTAACTAAAAAAATAAATAAATGGTTTATTACCAACCCTGAACAGAGTAGTGTTGATGGAGGTGTACTTCTGTACACCTCCATCAACATTACTCTGTTCAGGCATAGATGCCATTAGCCAAAAAACTCTTTTACAACTAGTTTAAACATTTTTCGCTACAAAAGGAAACTGGGTGACCTGTTCAACTTGATATTCAACTGATCTAAAGACCAACACTAGCAAGCAGGTGGATGTCAGAAGAATTAGTAATGACAGAATTTAGCTAAACACAAGATTTATTTCCATTTTATTCTGCACTCACTGAAGATGTGTGACGCTAGTGTTTTGCATGATTTATTTATTTTATTATGATTTATTTTTAGCAAATTTATTGACGATGTCAGAAATGTCTTTTAGTTAACAGATGTTAGTTTAGAAGGTGAAAAAAAGTATTTTTCCCCATGTTTTTTTTTATGCTTCAATTCCCTGTACTTTTCAGACGTACCTTGTATTCTTTGGTCGTAGAGAATTAAGTAAATTAATGTATAAGACCCACTATGTCCCAAAAAATTAAGCATTTTTAAATATGCATTGCAAACAAAGAACAAAAAAATTACACCTATAATAACTTTTAATCTAATAAAATCATCTGGGCTTCAAATTTTCAAAAAAAAGTGCAATTTTCATTAATCTGGAACTCATTGACAGATTTGGTTGAAATTTTGGATCTTGTCAATTTAAATTACATTAAGATTATGTTAAGAATTCAAGCTTTTTTATTTATAAAGGATGAATTATCGTGAGTTTTATAATTGTAAACAAAAAATTTTTGAATCTTGTAAATAATTCTTGGAAAAATTGCAAAATATGAATAAAATAATATTAACATTAAGTGGTTTTAACTTTTGGCCACTCTCCTGAAAATTTCTTTCAGCAATAGATCGATAAAATTTCCTTTTTCTGTTAATATGTTACTGCTTCTGAGATGTAGTTTTTTAAAATTTTATTTCTTTGCAAATATGCTAGGAGGCCTGGTTGTATATTTTTTGGTGACGATGGTGTAACTCTATTATGTGCCACTCTACAATGTTAAAATACATAGGAATTTAAAATCTACCATTTGTGAGAACTAATAATATTAATGTCTCTACACCCCTACTTCTCGTGTCAATTTAATCATAATCTTTGTAAATATTTAATCTAGAATCTTTTTATTAGTTCTAGTGTAGCATCAGAATGAAGTAAATATGATGTCTAAGTTCTGTTGCTTCCATATTCTTCATGGTAACATATCTTGATACCAAGCAAATTTTTTTACATGGATTTTGAAGCACTGAATTCAAGTATTGCTTTATTGTCACTTGAATCATTTTCAAGTAATGCTTAAGGTTTATGCTTCATAACAGAATTAACATAGATTGTAGCAAGCATTATGTTTAGATGGTACAGGAGAAAAAGCTTACACTTTGTATCCATTCTAATCCTGTGTCGATCAGAAGTTAATTTTTGTGTTATTTTTTATCAACTTTTATTAATTGTCTGATTTAGTTTGCGGAAGTGATGCTACGAAAAATACCTAATTAATTATAATTTACCCTATGATTTTGCCAGTTTTTTGTAGACATCATAGCAGCCAAACCTGTATCAACATTATAAACAACTTGTAACATTACACTCATCTTTTTGAGATAATGACTTAGAAGCTTTTAAATTGCTTCAAATACAATAACCTTGAAATAATCTATAAGAATCCCTATAATCTATAAGAAAATTCATGTCTGATATAAAAATTTTCTTTATATACATAAATTAAGCATTTCTTTTTTATAGTTGTAGCACATATCAAAAGTTTTTTGTCATTAAGAACTTTAATTTTTATTAAGACAAACAACTAACCAATTTATTTTTTTCCAACTGTTTACTTTTTTTTTGTTGTATATGATTTAAATAAAAGTTTTTATGTTTGAATGATTTAAAATAAAAGTATTTTTAATCTGAGAAATCTTTGCATTATCAGTATAAATCGTTATTCATAAATATGAAATTAAATTGCTAAAAAAAGTCCTAAAGGCTTAAAAATGAAGCATTCATTCTGAAAAATATGTAAATATTTTATATGAAATTTTTTTTTAATATTTCTTTGTACATTAAATCTCTGGTTCATTTCTATAAAACATTTGACTTGCAATTTTGAGAACTGTTCACAGAAATTTTCTGAGAAGATACATTTTTATCAAAAGATTTTATTAAATACTGAAATTATTTATTGTTACAATTAATTAGTGTTTTTAAAGTAAACTTCTTGAACTTTTAAATACTTGAAAATATTTGGTACTTGAAGATCCAATCACCAGATCAAAAGTTGTTCATGGTGTACAGAAATTCTGAGATTTTTCACTAGATAATTTCAATTATCATAAAAATAAAAAATCCATTGTTCCAAAAAATAGTTCAGTTTAGTTTACCTCTTGATCCTATTTCACTCAAAAGTGAAAATATAGTATAGAATCCTGGTGAAATTTCCTATAAATTAGTTCAGTGGTTCATAAGATCTTATGTAGCAAAATTGAAAAATATGATTTCAAGATGTTCACGTTTTTGTTTCGAATTATATTTATTTGCATTTTGCACAAATATTTCATCATTGCTGGCAATATGCTTTTATTATTTCCTAAATTTTAATGATACAATTTTAAATAATTACTCTTTGAAATATGCTGACAAATAAAATGCATGATTAAAAAATGAAAGTTTTGGTTTATTCACACCTTTTCCTTGGATGAATAGATAATTTACGTTTAAGAACTTCGTTTCTAACTAAAAAAAATCTAGAATTTCTATTTTACTCAACTTTGACGAATTAATTTAAAAAAAATTCCATCTTTAATTATGCTGATTAAAAAATTTTTCAGATTTAAAGTTTGCTAAACAGAAGGCTAACAGAACATGTTATTTAGTTTAGATCTAGTTTCTATCTTAAAATGTGAAGTGTAAATTTCATTTAAAAGAAAGCTATCATTTCTTTTAAATGGTCAAATGCTAAGTTTCAACGCAAGAAAAAAGTAATTTCGCTTTTCTAATTATGCTTATCTCGCTTTCCAATTAAGATTTAAACAACAAAAAAAACTACCATTTGAACGAGAATAAAAAATAAAAAATTTTATGATTATTAAAATACTCTTTTCAGTACTTTTATGTCCTCCCATGTAAAACAGAAAAAAAACAATCTTAAATATGGAAATATTTTATTAAAATTACAAGTGTCTTTATGAGTAAAATAAATTCACAAATAAAGAAGTTTAGATATTTTTTTTTAATCAGCTTCTTACAGTCCTTTCTCATTAGTTATGAAGTTCGTTTTTCTTTTCACAGCACTCAAAAGTATGCTGGTCTTCTGAATTGTTTGAAAATGAATTAATGGCTGTCCAGTCACTATTCACTGTTGATGATACTGCATTTCGAGACTTGTAACTTCTTAAACATTGACATTTTTGCTCAACATGTCCTATTTTCTTTTCTTTCACACGGCGATTCTGAAACCATATCTTCACTTGTTTTTCAGAAAGTCTAAGACATGTAGCTATCTCAATTCTTCTCAATCGGGAGAGGTACATATTAGACGCGAATTCACGTTCAAGTTCAACAAGTTGGGCACTGCTGAATGCTGTCCGTACTCGCTTGCTGCTGGAAAGGTCATCACTTTTGGGAGATTCTTTTGTTTCTGAAAACAAAACAAAAATTATGATTTTAAACTGTTTAAAGAAATTAAAAATCTGATTAACCCCTTAACTTGTGCACTCGAGTTAATTCGAGAGCACTAAACAGGCCAAACTGTGCACACTCGAGATAATTCGAGCGGAGTTGTATTTTATGCTGGTATAATTTTTCGCACTCGAATATAATCAAGAATTGAAAATAACAATTTGAAAGCTTAGAAAAAAAATCGTTTTATTGATATTTATTATTTACAAAGGATTGTAAGCTATAACACTTATTTTTTCAAGAATAAAATATAGCCTTTTTCCATGGAACAAAAGAGCAGTATATCAAAATAGTCTACCAAAAGAAAGCTGAACCAGAAGCGACAACAAATGGAAGCCTTTGAAGAGATGGATTTGGTTGGACATTGATTGAATGAAAAAAAATTTTGGCCGGTTTTTTTTTTTCGAAAAATCTGTGCGTGAAGGGATTAATAAATGCTCCTCTAGTTGAACAGTTAAATCCAGTTCATAAATATCCAAAAAAGCATGTAAAACAAAACTACTCAGATCTTTTCGAATACTATGTGAAAAATAGAGGACAACTGTAACTGTCGTGCAAATGAAAAAAACAGAGTACCTCAGGCAGATTTCGAAAAAATTTGCTTGACAACTATTTTCTTTCTATTGCTAATGCTATGAACGCTAGAACAGATTTTCAAAAAATTTATAAAACAACATTGAAATTAGTAGCTTATCATACAAAAATTTTAATTGTAGAAAAATCTCATTTTTTGTCGCCTACGTTGATATTTTTATTGCTCGGCAGTATAACTTTATCTTTCACCTGTGTGAAAATTGCATTTTGGACATAATTAAGAATAATTGATTGAATGTGAAGGTCAATTGCATATGAATTGAATTTGGCTTTACTGCTCCAAATGTAAACAATGTTACGTATTCAAATCGCAGGAACTAAATGGTGTTCACGAGACCCGTTTTTAACTGACGGGAACAACCTCTCCCAATGGCATCCCTGCCAACTTTTGCTCTTTTTAAAAAGTGATTTTCTGTTGTAGTAAAATACGAGGGCTGTAAATTAAATAGTGGCAACTTAACCTTGAAACTCACAGAAGGGCGGGCATGCGCAAATAGGATATGGGAACGGTGAGATGGCGCTGTTGTCGATGTGTAGAGTGCAAAATACAGTCGTTCTGCTTAGAAGGGTAGTTGTTGTGTGGCGTTAAAGTGAGGAGTTTCGTTTCTATCGCTCTAAAGCATGTTTTCAAAAGGTGATCAGCTGTCGTCGCTTAAAATCGAGGTTGCCCGTGGTAAAAATGCAACAGAATGCTAACGAGGATTAGTGGAAGCCTGTGGGGTAAATGCTTTACCGTATTGGACAGTAGCAAGATGGGTTCAAGTATCTCGTCTTTTTCGTCATTAAGCCTTTTGAAAACATTCTTTAGAGCGATATTTAATTTACAACCCTCGTATAATAAAAAATTTTTTATAGACAAATGTATTTTGCTTGAGCTTAAACACACCAATATAATAATGCCAAGCATTAATATACATATTCAAGTTATTCATTTGGTCTAATTACATTTTTTGTCTTGGTACTGCATATGAATATAATTTTTTTAACTAGATACAGTTCAGTAGTGTACTTCTGCAACTGTCAGTTGTTGGCCAAAAGGATCATGGAGTTTAAGGCTTTACGCATTCTAGATCAACTGCATGATTGTGGTTAGCAATTTTCACTGGCACTGCCTCCTTTACTTCCCTTACATGCTGGTATCCTCTATCGATCTGGTTGGCTTCCAGTAGCCAACTGAGGTAGAACTTTAGTTCTAAAAATAATAGCTCTGTCCCGTCACGACTATTCAATTCACTGTTGTTAAAAATATGCTTCCTTTGTTTATTTTGGGGATTAATGCCGTGACTAGAGATATGAAAAAATACCAAATTGATCTTTTAGTGCTGAAGTTGTTTCTTAATGATTCAAACCTATTTAAAAATACTTTTAAGATACTCAATTTGATCGATTCTTCTATTTTAATTAACTTGACGGCTTCTTTTTATGGGAACTACGTTTTTCGTTGAAGCTTTTCAGTTTTTTTTTTTACAGTACTAGAAAAAATATCGAAACAAACAAAAAACTTCAAGTTTTAAAAGGTGTAAAGTTTAATTATATCCTAATTCAACGCAGTTCTTAGAGTAAAAGATTTCGACTATGTTTACTAAAGTAGTTCATAAATTCCTTATACTTATTTTTAAGACATAATTATTTCTTTTTTCTTGTTTAAAAAGGATATAAAATATTGAACTCTCCTCACGTTTTTTCCATAAATTTGTTGATAGTTTAAAAACTAATCTTTACTTTAAATTAAGTTAATCATTCTCTTAATTACAGGCATGAAAAAAATTAAATTGTCTGGTTTTAAAATTAAAAGGCTTATTGAAGATGCTTTTTTTTTTGTGATACACATTTTCCTATTTTTTTGTACATTAGGCATTTGTCTTAAAATTTCGTTTTTCAAACTGAGCGGTAATTGTAGTTTCTTTGAGATTTTAAAATACAAACATTAAGCTTAGTATTTTATTCTTCAATATATTTTTCTTTTGAAGTTTATATTGTTTATCAGGGTGTCTACCATTGACGAGAATCTCAAACAAAAATCTCTTTACTGGTTCTGTTGATAACCTCATCTTTTTAAAAGCCAATTTTTATTTCACTATTTCGGATTCATAAATGAAATTGTATTTTAAAAATTAATTAGTTCAAGAATTGTGTAATTACCGTCATAATTGATTACTTAGGCCACTTTCAATTTAAGATATCTGGCCAAATGAAACCAAACTTGTCGTGATGTTTTATTTTGCTAATTTATGTGATACATAGTTTAAGCAATGATTTACATTCCTTTGTCCATTGAGAGTTGAGAAAAAATGTTAGAAACAGAATAAAGTTCTTTCTTTTTTATGTATTGATAATAATACAAAAGTAATTATATAATTTGTTAATAATTATATAATTTGTTATGTTATTTTTGTTATAATTTGTTAACTCAGATGTTTCTAAAATAAGACGTTTCCTAGTTAAATTAAAAAGTAAGTTCTGAAAAATTAAACATGAGGTATTTCGTTTATTAAAGAATGAAAAAAATTCCCAATAAAATATTTAGATCAAGTTATAGAATAACGTTTCCGTTTTATTGATAGTTCCTTATACAAATACGCCTCTGAGCCTCTACTTCTAGTTTGACCCTAGGGTAACAAAAGTTAAATATCAAAAAATTAAAACTGAAATATTATCACTTAAGTTATTCAACCATGAAAGGAATGTTTCAAGTTATGATTAAAGTTTAGTCATGGAACATAGAAATTCATGATTTTACTGTCTTAAATATAAGTAAAGATTTAAAAACTTGCTTTTAGAACATACACATTAAAATTTGTGATCAAAAACTTCACTTAAACAATGAATTTTCGACAAGAAAATTAGCAACCAAATTCAAAACAGTATTGCGAAAGTCAGCGACCGAAAATTAACCAGCTGAATTGGTCCAAGTTACCCCGGATGACAGTACATTTTGAGTTTTTTTTTAAACTGATTTTTACTAAAATTGTGAAGGAATTATGTTTTTTTTTAATCTCAATTCGAACGCAAGATAAGTTTTTTCATTATTTCTTCGTGTTCAACTTCAGTGCTAGTACTCCTTCCTCCATTACTTTAAAATGACCATAACTTTAACTTTAAAGTGATGTATCTCAAAAAGTGTAAAAATAATAAGAATAATTATTGTACGAAATAAGAATAATTATATTTATATTAGATTTGTTAGTTTATTGTTTTTAGAAAATCGAAAAATATTTCTAATGTTTTGAAATATAATTTAAAAAGACAAAAACAAAATATAATATGTGCGCAGTTGGAAATTATTTTTTAATCTAATGTACAATAGTGCAACGGAAAAATTATATTAGGCGTATTTAATTTTTAAAAAAATTTCATTTTAAAGCATAGTAGTTTCAGTTATAAAGCTCTTTAAAAGCCATTAAAAATCTTATAAGTGAGGAATATTGTCAGAATATTATATTTCATATGTAAGATACTTATATAGAGTGCAGTGTATTTTACCAGTCATTGATTTTTATCTGATCAATTCATAATGCCGAAGGGTTTAAATAATGAGCCCGGAACTCACTTAAGAAAAGACCTAAAAATAGAAAAGTTTTGAATATTTTAAAGATTATGCTCATTTTACATAATTTATTGAAATTTATCAGGTGGGTTGTTTGCAAAGAATTTGCGTGCGTTAAATAAATATTAACCTAAGTGGTTATGTAAGTTCTAAATGTTAAAAAAAAATTGTAACATTTTAATAATATAAAAATGTCAAGATCATTTTTCCCAAGTAGCAGCATAAGATTGACTGGGTACAGAAACGGAGTTTCTCGAAACTTTATTTCCGAAGTCGATGGACACGACTTTTTTTAAATCTAATACCTATTTTTTCTTTTAAAAATGCACTAAAGATTGAACATAGTTTTTCTTTCTTTCCTTAAGCTTAACTTATTTTTTATACAAATATTTTTTTTTTCATCTTTTTTTTTTTTTAAGTATTGTATATTTGTGCATACAGCTCCGTCAAAATTCAATTCGAAAAAAAAAATCTTTTATCAGTCATTAGTCAACTCTATACAAAAAGAAAAAAAAAGTGAGCAAAATTTCAATAGAATCGTGTCCTCCGCGATAATTATTTTTTCTAAGAGATCTGCAAAAAATGTATAAATTTGTAAAATGTTTAGCTTAGAATCTTATTAGGTATTATTCAAACATTGTTATTCCATGCTTAAAGTGGAAATAAAATTATTATTGTATATTATATTTGAAAAAAGGAAAGCTTTTTTTTTTTCGAATTGTTTCCGATTTTACGTTTGTTATGTCAGATTGTAACAAATTAAGCGTTCATTCAACTTAATGTCTATTTCTTATTAGATGTAGAAGCTTTACATGTAT